AATACACACACACATACAGTCTTTCTCTTTCTCTTCATTGCGATCGTTTTTTGCTCGCGTCGTCACGCCGCTGTGGCCATTATGCCGCCTTTTCAAAACCCCCCGTGACCTATCGCTTCATTTCCTGCCCCAACGCTTCATCTTCCCCCACGACACTGCCACGTGTATGGCCACGATGCACTGTCCCCTACCCTTACCCTGTCTTTTCCATTTTCACATCAGCACATTTTAGAACCCCACGCCCCCCTGGTCGGCACACCTCACGGTCGACCCCCGCCGCTCGGCCACCCTCGTGGTCGGCCCACCTCACGGCCGACCCCTCCCGCTCGGCTACCCTCATGATCGGCACGTCTCACGGTCGACCTCTGCCGAGCGACACAACAAAAAAGGATCTGGAACAAGACCTTGATCGGCGATTGATGCAGTGTTACTTGTATAATTGGTATTTTTTTTCTTTTACTTATTTTTGTTGTTGATGTTGATGTTTATGAAGTTGTTGTTGATGATGATGTTGATGTTGATGTTGATGAAAATGAAAGAGATTGCATCATTTTTTATTGTTTGTGTGTTGAACAGATGGGAGAGAGATATTTGAACAGATAGGAAAAATAATAATTTTTTAATAGATAGGTTTAGTTTGGCTTGGTATTGCAACAGATAATTCTCTCATCTTTACAATTAAGAACTTTTTATTTTTTATTTTTTATTTTTTATATTTATTTTTGTTGTATGATTGGTATTTTTTTATTATTATTACTTATTGTAAAAGATCTTGATGAGTTTTGTTGTTGTTGTTGATAAATAGATTGTAATGAACAGATAAAAAAAAACAGATCTCATTGAAGCTTTGTTGTTATTGTTGTTGTTGAGAAATTGATTGTAAATGAATAAATAAAAAAACAGATCTCATCGCCTGGAAGAGAAAGATAGTGAGAAAGATTTTAACAGATAGAACAACTGTATAGATAAAATTTCAACAGATAAGATTTGGTTTGCTTGGTATTTCAACAAATAGAAAAAAAACTAAATAAAATTTGAACAGATAATAAAATTTAAACACATATTGGAACGGATAAAGGGAAAAAATTGAACATATAGTCAAAAATTTGAACAGATAGATAAAAAAATTGAACATTAGAAAATAATTTGAACAGATAGGTACAAATTTGAACAGATAGTCAGTGAAAAGTCAACAGATAAAAAAAAGTCAAGGCGTAAAATTAGAAACAAAATATCTTATAGGACTTCTCATCAAACTATTTCACAAAACGTAGATTTTCCTCCAATAAAAAATATCTCTAACATTTTAGACACTCTTTAAATTGGATGTATCACTAATTTTCTCATAAGCCTTACAAAATGTATAATTTTCTAATTTTTGAAGCCACTCTTAGAAACTGCTTCTAATCCCTATAAAGGTACATCTAAGTTAACCTAAAAGAATACAGAATTTGATGAAGTTACCTCTTGGATGTTAGGTTTACAACGTAATAATCCCTATAAAGGCACACCTAAAAGAATACAGAATTTGATGAAGTTACTCTTTGATGTTAGGTTTACAATGTAATTATTGAAGACTTTTTTATATAAAAAATTGACTTCTCTCCAATTTAGCACAAAACTAGACTGTCTAATTTATATAATGAGATTGTGTCACATCATTATTTTGTCAAATCAATGATTCATATCCTCCCCGAGTGAGGATCCTCTCCTTGCAGCTTCGGTGCTTGCGCCCGTCCTTGCAGGCCTTCGGGTCTACTTTTAGGCCCAATTTTGATAATCCGAACCGTTCATATTTTATAATTTATTCAGTATATCATACCTGTAAAAAATCAAGTTGATCGGATATTAGAAAGCATATGTTCGGAAAACTGTTTATTAAATTTTTTAAAAAATAGTGTTTAGTTCAATTTTTCAAACACATACTTTCTGATATCCGATCAACTTGATTTTTTACAGGTATGATATACTGAATAAATCATAAAATATAAACGGTTCGGATTATCAAAATTGGACTTAAAAGTAGACCCGAAGGCCTGCAAGGACGGACGCAAGCACAAGCTTGCAAGGAGAGGCTCCTGACTCGCTCCTCCCCCTCCATCTTTCTCTTCCACCATTTTTATTATTATTATTATTATTATTTTGTGTGTGTGTTCTTCCAGTGTGCACTCCATTTTCTACCATCTAAAACCACTTATTTTATAAATTATTATAACTTCTGATTTATAAAGAGAGTGTCAACTGTTTTTCAATAATAATAATTTATGGTGCAAACACCTCAAAAAAAAAATATATATATTTTTTTTATTGAAAGTTACTGTCCTAACTTTTTCTTTAAAGTACTTTAGTATTACTACTAAATATTGTAAACTAATGTACCCCTAAATTCTAATTTTAACATTTTTTGTTTCACATCTTCAAGATAGATATTAGACCTATAATTTGGTTTTGATGATAGCTATTATTCATTGGTTAGTCATACTTTATTATGATTTATGTTTCACATTCTATAACATAAGATTAGTGTTTTGCATATGATAAACTTGTATTTTGAGTTGTAAATGTTTTTTGATTTTAACTAAAAAATAATGTTATGATGTGTAAAGATTTAATAAATATTTATCATTTGTATTTCATGAATATTTCATTAGAGGTAGTTGCCTACCTTGAGAGTTGATAGTCAAAGGAGGTGTTTGCTGGCGGTGGATGGCGGTGGTTTAAGATAGAGAGTGGCCAAATGTGATGATTGCTGGTGGTGATGATGGGTGTTTAATGATAATTGGAGAAAATGTGAGATGAAATAAAGAATTAAATTTGGTAATCCAAAATAAACAAACAACAACTATTTTTTAGTTATACAAATTTAGTTAATTTATATGAATTATTTACAAATAGCGATGGGCGCACACGATGTGTGTGTAATTTTAGATTTAAAATTTTAACTAATTAAATATAAATTTTTAACCAATTTGCTTGATGAGAAATATGGATTGACGTTAAAACTGATTAACAATATGCACTTGATATGGATGTAATTCTATAGGCATTTTGGAAGATAAAAAATTGTATGTCATAGCTTTAAAAAGTGAGTTGTGTAATAATATACTTTTTTAGAAATGACAATAGACATATGAATTTGTGTTTATAATATTCAAAATTTTTCATTGATAGAGAAAAAAAAAAAAAAAAAAAATTCTAAACATAAACTTAGCAAACAGACCCTTGGCTCATTTGATTAAAAAGAAAATTTGGTAGAAAGTGAATGTAAAAGAAAATGAAGTGAAAGAAAAGAAATAAAAAAGAAAATATATTTTCTTGCAAGCATTTAGTTAAGATAAAAATTTTGTAAGAAAAAGATAAAAAAATTTAGAAATTTAGTTATAGATAACTCACAAATTCAATTTTTCTTGTGTTTTCTTATGTTTTCTTGCAAGAAATAAAAAATTAGTTACAATGCTAATATAAGTTGTACAATAAAATTAATTTTCTTATACTTTTCACAACTTTCAAACTAAACAAACTTATAGAAGTTAAATTTTTTCTATTTCTTTCACTTTCTACCCATTTCATTATAAACAAATGGTGCCCAAAGTAATGTTTAGTTGATTGGAATGACCATTTCATTAGAACATCCATTCTTATATTTGATTTTACTAAAAATAAGGGTAAATTACAAACACACCCCTGAGATTTACTTAAATTATAAATTATTCCCTGTGGTTCTAGAAATTACATTGTGTCCCTTAAGATTTCTAATTTTATAATAAACAGGTCATTTTATTAATAAATCATCAGGTTAATTAGCAGTTTTTAATAATGTTAAAATTGTATTTCAATTAATAATTTAGATAATTTTGTTATTGTATATGTGAACAGTTAGAAATTTTACTTTTTCAATTAATTCTGTTAAATAAAAAATTCTGAAATGGAGGTATTTGTAATTTTTCAAACCACAGGGGACACAATTCGTATTTTAAGCAAATCTCAAAGGGTGTATTTATAATTTATCCTAAAAAAATGATTTAAAATACATTATAAATAAAATTATTATTCATATGATAAATAATCATTTTATAAGAAAAATTTTCATTCTAACCACTAACCTTCTTCACCATACTTTATTTTATGGGTCTCATTTTAGACCCACAACAATAATTCAAACCGTTCATCTTATAATAAAATTCGTCTATATAAAAAAAGCACTTTTATCATATCGATAAATACATAAACAAATGACATTTTGCTTTATAAAACGAGTGGTTTAAGTTTAAGCTCATAATTATTGTTAATTTTAAAAAATAAAATATATTTTGTTCATGTATCTAGTGATATTTGATGAAATTGATTTTTTTGTACAGATGATTTTTTATTTTGAGATTTATCATATAAATGATTTGAATTATCATTGTGAGTTCGGAGTAAGATCATAAAATAAAATACGGTGAAATATAAACCATAATGGTATGGAAAGGATTCGTTTATTAGACCATCTCTAATGGTTACTCAAATCTTTCATCAAATTTAAATTTGATGAAAAATGAGTCATTTTTCTGCTCCAACGGTTGCATCAAATAGGTATCACATTGAGAATTTAACTTTTCTTTCATCAAACTGAGGAGTAATGTGTCTTTCATCAAATCACTATTCATTGTTGTTGTCGGATATCCCCCCGATGTCCTTCCAGTCGTCTTTCGGACGACGACCTCAAGGTAAAAATTTGTAAAAACATTACACTAACCGGTTGATCGGTGATTTGATGAAAAGCTAAATCCCTCACTTGGAATACTTGATATCAAAATTTTTTTTTACTTAAATTTGATAAAAAAATTAATACGCCATTGAAAATGCACTTACCAAACATAGCATAAGAGTGGAAATTTTCTAACAGACCGGAATGAGTCGACTCCGGTCCACGTATTGGTTTTCAAGAACCCGTTAGCCGTTCTGGATCGGATATAATTAAGAGCAATATTTTGAACCGGAGGCTGGTGCGAGGCAGTACGGTTTAGTGGTGAACCGGATTGCTCATCCCTGTATATATACGCATGCACAGTGCTAGGGATTGGAAATCCAGTTGAAAAATTCCTGAATTAAGAATACCAGTTCAATTGCTCGAAAGATTACTCTCCTCTTCATCAGGTCTCCTCTCTCTCTCTCTCTCTCTAGAAATATGTGTAGATATCCTTCTGTACTGTACTGATAATCCCAATGTTGGCTCAGATTCAATGTTTTATCGTTTTTTGCTGGCATTTCTATTTTGAATCTGTGTCTATATGTATGTATATGTGTATAAATATGTTTGATGTGAGAGATAATAGGTTTAGATTTTCAATTTAATTTGTTGTTGTGGAAGAATTACACATCATTGCTTGCTTGTGATTTCTGGCTTTTGGAATATTGAAGGAGAGAGAGAGAGTAGCAATTGTGGATTAATTTTGAGTGTAGGGTTCTAGCCTTTGTTAATTTTAGGGACATTCTTTTTTTGGTATATGTTGCACTAGAGATGAGCTCAACTGTTGAGCTTTGGTGGTGGGATGGAGGGTGGTTTGGACTGGGAGCAAAAAAAAAGATTGCATATGCTGGTTTGGCACCTTTATATGGTGATGAATTAGGTATTGGTGCGATTTGGAGAGAGAGAGAGAGAGAGAGAGAGAGAGAGAGATTTGGTGGCAGTTGCCCTGTTAATTTTGTGATTGTTTGGGCTATTACATAGGTTGTATGATGTGATTAAGGTGGTGTTGTTAGAATCTTATGGTTTGCTGTTCGATTCATGACTCAATACGAGTTTCAAGCAAAATGATTTGATTCACTATGTGGGTGTTTGGGAAGTGAGTTTTTATGTAGGTTTTTTTAGTTGTACGATATTATTGGATAAAATTTTTTTGGTGTTTGGGAAGATAGTTGGGTTTTTTTGTGGTTGGATGTGATGTTTGTGAGAGAAAAAGTGAAATGATTATGGGGTTAGATGTGATATTTTGTTTGGATTTGTTTTTTTTTTGGTTTTGCAAAAAGTTTATCTTTTAGTATAAAAAATAAAAAAAAAACCCAACACAAACTTCCCAAACACCACCACAAGTGATTCAGTTCTGTTTGCATAATGTATGAAACAACATTGTTTTTGTAAAATAAAAAAGAGATCAACTAATTGTATTGATATACGTAATTTTATATGTATATATATACAATTTTGTTGTATTGATATTTATTTCATTTTAAACGTTGATGTTTATTTTTTATATGTATATACATATATAAAATTATATTGTACTGTAGAAAGTGAATCTTATTATTCATGATTTGACAACAATGGTGAGTGAGTGAGTGAGAAGAAGCTTTGAACTGTAAGCTTTTTCATTTTTGGTATTTTGCGATCTTTGTAAAATCTTATATTAGGAAGTGTGGTTCTTGGTGAAAAAGCATCAGATTGAGAAATAATAAAGGAAGTTGCTAGTTGGGAATATTTTTCAAAAATAAGATTATTTTGGCAAATATTCTTGTTGCTTAGTTATAAGTTATGATAGTTGTCAAGCATACGTGTAAATGTATATTGGCATGTATTATGAACTAATTTCTTTTAATTTGTTACTATTTTAATAGACATCATTGTAATACTGGATTACTGACTGGTTGTTGAAAAGTTTTAGTTAATATATAGTTAAACATGTTGTGTGCTGCTGAGCTGCACTGCACTAATAGTGCGTCTCTGGCTACAGTCCTCTCCTACACAGTTCTTAAAAGCATAAAAAACAATTTGCAATAGATTTATGAACGAACATTGTTATAATAACGGCTAAATATTTAACAATTATTGCTTCTCTATGCTTATTGTTGTATTTCTATGTACCCCTCATACTACAACTATCTTGCATGTATGTATGTATGTATACTGATAGATATCAGTCTCTGAGTGTCTTGTATGCATCATATTTACAGGACTTGAAACTACCCACACTGGTTTTATTAATGTCTATTGCAATATCATCAATAATGTTTACATTTTCTTATAATATTCTACGCTTCTTTTTCCTAAATGATATTGATGTTGTGAAAATTTACTGATACCTCCATATTTTGGGGAACCTTGTAATGGTGGTTGATATTAATAATTTATTACTTGTGCTATTTTTATCATAATCTGTTGATAAACTATGATTATTGGAAAGAGAAGTGAATTGACTAGTGAAGGTGCAAATACATAGTACCAACTTCATTAAATTTGTTTGGTAGGCCAGAATTGACTAATTGAAGCCTAATGCATTAATAGGCAATATGGTACTTCAGCTAGAGTTGTTGAATTTCCTATTGTATTTTTAGTTTTTAGTTTAGATGTTTTTCATGTCTCATTTGCATGAACAACACTATTTATCGAAAAAAAAAAAGGTGCATGAACAGCACTCATGGTTTTATGATTGTTTTATTTATTTATTTATAAACTGTCACACTTAATGGTAGTATCCTTTTTATCTGTATCTTTGTAGTGTACTGGCCCTTATGCTCGTCTATTTCCTTGTATGTGTGTTAGCATTTTATTTTATTTGTAACTATTATTCACATGGAAGTTTTATTTCTGCTCTTTTGGTAAACTTTTTTAGTTAAAAAATCTGTAGTACATGAATATCAATTTCCTTTGTTATTTTGTTCTGATTTATTGCATCTATATGTGCTATTACAATTTCAATGGATTTCCTTCCAAACACTTGAAGACAGATATTTATTCTGATGGTATTTTTTGCTGCATGTCTGATTGTATATGTGATACTGGCATGCCAATAAGTTGTTGGCAAGATTATTCTTATGCATGCCTATCTGTGTACTGTTTAACCATTGATATGCTTTCACCTTTCCTTTTTGGGTTTCAGGACTGATGCCAAGCTGGACCAGAGATATTGTGGCTGAGATCTGCTGATTACAAGTTTCACAGACCATTTATATCAAGTTTACATTTTGACTTTTGAGCATAGTTTGTAACAAGATACAATTCCAGATTGAAAAATTGTCCTGTAATTTTGTAAATAACGCAACATTCTGGTATTAGTATATTGATTTCATCAACTTTGGCTGCCATTTGATGTTCTGAATTGAATTGAGACTTGTTTTGCATTTCTCCTCTTGTTTCCTCCTTTAAATATATAATTGCACTTTGTGGGGAATTTGTAGATTTCAGTCGGTTATATTTGGGGAAAGAGAAAGACTTGAACTTTTTGATTCTGGTTGCTTGATCACCTGAATTCTGGGAAACTCTGCCTGCGCTGTCAACATGGAGAGCTTAGCACAACTGGAAGCGTTGTGCGAAAGGCTTTACAATTCACAGGACTCTGCTGAACGAGCTAGTGCAGAAAATACTTTGAAATGCTTTTCAGTGAACACTGATTACATTTCGCAATGTCAATACATTCTGGACAATGCTTTGACTCCATATGCTTTGATGCTGGCTAGTTCAAGCTTGTTGAAGCAAGTGACAGAGCAGCGCCTCCCTTTGCAGCTACGACTTGATATTCGTAATATTCTTGTTTGCTTGCAGATAATTATGGCTATGAATGTTATAGGTGGAACTTTGTATGATTGCCTTTAATCCTCTGACAAACTCACTTTTTGTTGTTGTTGTTGTTGTGCTGTGTTGTTTGCTTCACTGACAATCTGCTTCAAATTTCTGTATCATTTTGTGCACAACCAGCTATGTACTCATATTTGTCTACAGGTTGATATTCATAATATTCTTGTTTGCTTAAATTTTGTGTGATTGCCTATGATCCTCTGACGGTTTTTTTTTTTAATTTTTAATTTTTGCTTTCTTTATGTTTTTCTGTGCTTCATTGACAATCTACTTTACATTTCTGTATCTTTTTGTGCGCAACTACCTATGTACTTGTATTTGTTTTCAGTTTGTCAATGTTCAGAGTCATATCTCGTCCTCACTTATTTTCATCTAGCTTCCGTGGTTTATGAGATGGTATCATTGTTAAATTTTTGTTAATCAAGGGATGGGAAATCCCTAAAGCTTATATCATAAACATTTTTAGGATGGACAATTAGTGAAACCTCAAGTCACCTTTTCATTGCTTTAGTGTGTCTGATAGGTCATTTATTATATATGAATAGATGCAATTTACATTGTGTTTGACAATTTCCAAATTGATTTATATGCACTTTTTCTGAAGGAAACTATCTCACAAACTATCTGGCCACCAGAGGACCTGACTTGGAGCCTTTTGTAATTGGATCCTTAATTCAACTCTTTTGTCGAGTTATAAAGTTTGGGTGGTTTGATGATGACAGCTTCAGGGAGGTGGTCAAAGAGTCAATGAACTTCTTGAATCAGGTAAGAACTTGTGTATGCTAGGGTAGGTTTAGATTTCATTATATCCAATATAATTTTTTATTGTCCTAGATATCAAATTTGAGTTTTAATGATGCTTTTCTAACATCAATTTAGTGACATGTTGAATTGGCTAGCTTTGCTATGTGTCTTTGTGTCATAATTAGGGCTGCAAATGAACCGAGTTATTTATCTCGAGGTCGGCTCGTTTATTAAATGAACGAGCTCGAGCTCGATTTTTAGGCTCGTTTATTAATCGAGCCGAGATCAAGTAGTCCCAAGCTTGACTCGATGAGGCTTGCGAACATAAAGAAAATAAATTAATGTTACCTTTAATAATATATCAAATAATTTTTCAATAATTATTTTATTTTTCTATGTGTGCTTGTTTTTGTGTAAATTTACATATTTGATTGATGAAATTTATTAATAATATAAGCATTTTTGTATATTTTGCCCATAATTTTCTATTTTTTTAAAAATATTATCTTAATAAATAAATTAATTTAAGTTTAATCTTTTTTTCAAGCTTGAGCTTGGCTTGTATATGCAATCAAGCGAGCTTGAGTTTATCAAATATTTGACGAGCCGAGCTCGATTATTCAAGCTCGACTTGAGCTCAACTCGAGCTCGAGCTCGAGCTTGACTAATTCTTAATGAACAAATCTGAACACTCAAAAGCTCAGTTCCGCTCGGTTCGTTTGCAGCCTTATTCATAATAATATAATGCATGATTGTTGCATCTTCCCTTTCTTTCCCTCCATTCTTGTGGCAAGTCACTGTGATTCAAAGTGTTTTTTAGATTCTGAACTATTGATGGGTATTGATGTCTTTCTATTATCTTTGTTAGATTCATCCATCTTGGGAGAAGTCTTTCCTCTTTTAATTTTTTTCTATGGAAGTGTCAAAAGAAACTTATGCCTTCATGCTTGTGTCAAAAGAAGTCTTGCTTCAATTTTGCAGTTTTATGGCACGCCATTCTTATGAATTTTCTCAACTCTAAATGATTGCCCATTTTTATGTTTGTCCAAGTAAGTCAAAATTTGAGTGGAAAGTGTGAAGCTTATGCGATATGCATATAAAGGATAGTATATTAGTGACAAAATGACAATAGTGCGCTTGGGTACTTAGCCGACAGACAAGTATGTTATTAGGAAACTAATACAGCAACATCATGCTTAAAACTTGGCCAATAAAAGCTTTCTCCCATCACAATAGTCGTCTTTTGTTTGAAAAGTGATATTTTATGCAATTCTTTTACAACTTTGAGGCAATGAAAGAACACAAATAGGGATGATGCCCCTTAAAAAAGAAGTCACTTGTGAAGAGAAATGAAGGTAATTCTTGAAGCAAGCAAATGGGCAGATGTGAAACTGAAATACTTAAATGGAGGATCCAATTATTCAAGTTTTTAATCCCACAACCTTCATGGACATTAATAAGTACATGTAACACTAAGTTGAGAGCATGTTTGGCTTTGTTCTCAACACCGTGTTTGTGTTCGATGATGGAAATGGAGGTTTAAAGCAATTATATCGATATTGCATGCCTCAGGTTCATCTTATTCCGAATCTGAATACTGAAAATGTGTGAGAGTCTTTAAATAGAGTGACTCACCGATCAAAAAATAAATAGAGGACATACTTTTGTGATTAACATGATGTCTCCAGAAAACTGCTTGCACCACCACATGAAATCCTTGTCATAAGTTGGGGTGTTTTATTTTGTGTGAAGTTATTTGCTAAAGAGTGCTACTGGATGTCCTTCTTAACTATGAACCTGTTGATATTGATGCGGGCAGCATGGAAAACGAATGACACTTTTGAGAAATCTGGTAATTGTAGTGCTGGTGCCTCTATTCCGTTTCTTTACTTAAAGGTTTTAGGAGCTTCCAGTATTCATATGAATTGCACATTCTGCATGCAGTTGATGGGAGCCATAATGGTAGGTGTCACAGGGTTTATTTTTACCCACAAAGTACAGCCTGTGATGGCATGCAGCAGCACTTAGTCTCAGCCAACTTATGCATGAATTTCACAAGGTGAGGTTTGACAATAAAGTAAGTACACACACAGATTACAGGACAAAATCCCAACCTTTATTATGACCAAGTAATATAAGGAATACAAGAGAATTCATACATAATTCACTCCCTCTGCAAGACCCCTGCAATGCCTACATATTTATAGGCATGTATACAATTTGACATGTGCAGTTGACACCTCCCAACTGCTAGGGTTTGCTGGACCAATCAAAATGCTGCAAGCAGAACTACCACTAACTGCCTTGGACTGGATAACGAGTTATCAAAAAAAGAAAAGAAAAAAAAGGAACTGTCATGTACAAGTGTCCCTACATCCCTGCATGCTGTCTTTGCCCATGCCAGCACAATTTCCCCTTGACATGCATAACAGTCGATAACTGTTATCCTTGTCAGCATTGCAGCCACCAGAGTCAAGCCGCAAATTCGCATGTCTTTGACTGCCTAGCCCGTGCTAGTGCCAGCCCTTAGTCTGCAACTAAGTGTCAAGCCACACTGATTGTCTTGCCCCCACAAGCCCACGCTGCAAGTGGCATTCAGGCCAAGCCCAGCCTTGCATTTTCCCACATGAAGCTTCACTTATCTTTGGGTCCTGTGGCATTGCCATTGCCACACTTCAACATGTCACCTTGCCTTGGGCATGCCTCCCTCATGCCTGGTTTCCATGGTTGGCATGGGTGCAAGGTGCCACTGCATAGAAACCTGAGTGTAAGGGTCTAAGGGGCTAAAAGTAGGCTAGTATGCTGCTGGTACAAATTTTGCATTTGTTCTACAATTTCATGACTAGGGGATATTGAGGTGTTCTCTAAATTTGTGTGCATGGGCAATGCTACTGATCTATTGGTCATGCCTTAAATTTAGTAAGTCCTTGCATTGTTTTGTTAGTTTAGAATAGTATTACAGGCCAATTTACGGAATCCTAGTTTTAGAAGCTGGAGCAGTCCAACAGCTCGTAATTTTCGATGTAATCTATTAACCTTGGTGTTTTTTTCTTAATGTTTTCTGGATAACAAGATATGTCAAAGTGCCAACGGGAACTAACCGTATGTAATGTGTTTGGTTTTAATGAATTTGAGATTCTATAATGTCTGATGATCCAAAATTGAATAATTTATGACTTAAATTTACCACACATTTCTTCATGGGTCAAAATAAATGCTTGATTGTGTAGTAGCCCATAGTGTTAGTTTTACATTCCCAAAGAAGGTGGGTCTTTTCTAACCAAGCAATAGCTAATTTATCACCTAATGTGGTACACCAGAGCAACTTTAAATTACTGTCTCTGAATCATGTGTTTGTGCTTCTAATGCTTAATTATATCTTGTAAAAACAAGGTGAGATGTCAACTGAATGACAGTGATGATAATTGTTGGATCCTCAGAACTGGAAAGGAGAACCTTGTCTGAAAATGCTTCAGGAGCATTGCAGAGTCCTTCATAAAAGGCAAACTCCATCTTTTAATACTGGTTGATAGAGGAAGTGCTTGCCTGTAGTGGATAAAGAGTTTTGTATCATTATTTTATTTTAAGTAGATATTATCTGCTACACTGAAACTTTGGGCATTGAGCTCGAATGGCTATGGGGAAAGAACTAAGAGTGTAATTGGAATCCTCCATGTTCATTCCTCATGAGTTGCAGTTCTTTTAAGGTGAATTTCAATTGCAGGGAAAGAAATTAAGATACATGAAGAAAAACAGTGAGACAAGTTGTTCTATTTGTTTTTAGTTTGACGTGAGTTATATAATCCTACAAAAGCTAGGATGGTGTATTTGACGAATCTTTTTGAACGTAGAAACTCTTACAAGTATACAATTTCAAGCAAAAGGTCCCCTAGGTGACACCCCAGCGGCTTAGGTCACATTTCTCCAATAAAGCGACTCAATTTTGTGTGTCCTTAACTTGCGCATAAAAAATAAGTTTTTAAACACGAGGATAAGGGAATTACAGTCATTATTTGACAGGTGCATCATTCACATCCTCAGTTTGTCCTCTGGCATTATATCTTCTGGGCTGCGTACTATGGATGCCAGCTATATTACAGAAACATGAGCCTTTTTTTTGTTTTTTTTTGGTGGTTTAAGGTCAGATCTTTAGCTTTACATTAATCTTTGAGCTTTGTGTTGATGAGTGATGTATTAGAGTTTGGGTAGTTGAAAAGTCATACATTTCTTCTGAGACTCGGTAAATTGTCTGCTTTTTGGGGTAGTTACTCCACAAGGGTGTCACCTTGTATTTATAATGCCCTCACTCCATGTTGCCTTAAATATTCTGCAGTAAAGTACATTATGATTTGTTGAGAACTTTGAAAAAACAAGTAACAAAGAGCCCACTTTTTTCTGTCTGCTTTGGGTTTCTATAATTGAATTACTTGTGTAGGCAGTTTAATATTGTACTTAATGATTTTCTATGATTTTAGCATCAGCTCCAGTAGTAAAATTTTGTACATATGAACTCCCTCACATATTTATTTATTTTTGTTTTTGCTTCCAGCAGGCAACATTTCACTATGCCATTGGCTTGAAGATTTTAAATCAGCTCATTAGTGAAATGAATCAGGTTAGTCTTGTTGAGATTGGTTGGTTCAGAGGTTTTGTGGAGTTTATGGTAGAATATCTGCTTTAGAAGATTTTGGAGGACGTCTTTTTTTTAATTTTTTTTTAAAGTTTTTGGAAACGGTTCAGTAAACAAGTTTATAGTTTTCATCTTGTGTATCTTATTTTTTCTCCTTCTTCGCTACAGTTCTGATTGAGCTGTATGATTTCAATGGTTTGTTAATTAAAACTAACATAAGTTAATGATGCATATTATATGTGTGTCCAATCAATTCATTATTTGCCATTCAAGGCAAGAAGGGCATAGGAAAAGAGCAGGGATAGCACAAACCCAAAATTGAGGATTCTACTGGGAATTTGATTTCTAAGAAGCAAACAAGTATGCAATCTCAAGCATGAAATGATCTAGATGCAATAGCCAACAGATAGGGATTTTGTCCATCCACAACTTAAAGTCTCCCTCCATCAAGCAAATAATATGGTTTTCATGAGTGCCTTCTAGGATAGCTTGGAGCTCCGGTTTAATTGCAAATCTTACATCTGTGTTGAGGAAGATGAGATGATATTACAATGTTGATCATGGTTAATATTTCCAGTGCCAAGGTGGCCTGGATTGCCAAATGTACAATCCTTGAAGTTAAATTTAAATTTCCCCCACAGAGGATGGCTCCACACCCCTCAATTGTAATCCATATTAGAAGGTTTGCCTGTTTCTCACTAATCCCTCTGTGTTTCTTTTGCCTCTTGTTGCTGCTACCATAAATGTTCTATTCCATGTTAGTGGATCAGCGTGGATGGTTTTTTATAACTGCAAATTATGGAATCTCCTAGTCAGTAAGAACTGCATGGAAGTCATTTTTCCTCTCCCTAAGCCAAAATTCCATCGCCCAAGTAAGAAGACAATTTCCTTGGTCTGCTGATTCAAGAGGAGAAGGAAAATTAACTTCAGGCGAGTACTAATAGTTGTACATTATTTTCTCAAGTATGGTGTCAAAATCAGTTGTGAAGCGTGGAAATTGCTCTGGTTAATAGACTTTCATTTGTTCAGCTTGTAGCCTGACCTATGATATGTTACTAAGTGACATCCACAAATTTGTCTTGAACAAAAACTCTTTTCTAATTCTGCTCAAGTAGGCCGCACATTTCATGATGGGAAAAACCTTATTTACAATCTTGTATTGGATTATGAAAAATGTGATCTGACTTTGGTGAGATACTATGGAAGGGAATTGTAGAAACTGGGTCATTTAAAATTGCTTCTGCACTACCGGGTGCTTCATGTCTGCACAGTTGAATGCATTGACAATGCAAATTGACTTACTGCTGTCTTGTTTTTTTTTGTTTTTTGTTTTTTTTTTTAAATTTAATTTTTTAAATTTTTGTTGTTGTAGGAGTAGCTTTCGCTTCTCCTGAATCAGCAGTGCAATCATTTTGTTGTAGTTCAGTATCGCTTTTACATTTATTACTGGCTGATGCGATGACACTGATTTGTTTTCATTTTGCCTATAACATATTTGTAGAACTTTTTCCTACTTATGCTTTTTCTTTGCTATGAACAGCCAAATCCAGGATTACCTTCTACCCATCATCGCAGGGTGGCTTGCTCCTTCAGGGATCAATCACTTCTCCAAATATTCCGAATATCTCTGACTTCACTGTGTCAACTTAAAAATGATGGTAAAATGCTTACTCTGTGATTAGAATATTAGTTGTGGCCTTTTCCCTATTAACTTTCTTGGGTAACTAGAATAGTTTTTTTCAAATGCAGTTGGAAGCAAGTTACAAGAACTGGCTCTTTCATTATCCCTCAAATGTTTATCATTTGATTTTGTGGGGACATCATTTGATGAAAGTTCAGATGATTTTGGCTCTGTTCAGGTGCATTTGGCATTTTCTGTGGCAAATGTGTTGCTTATATAAATCACTTTTAGATAAATTTGCTTATATAAATCACTTTTTCACTGTGAAATATTCTTGCCTTGAACTGTATAGATTCCATCTTCCTGGAAGCCAGTTATTGAAGATCCGTCGACACTGCAGATCTTTTTCGATTACTATGCTATCACTAAACCCCTTCTATCTAGGGAGGTTAGTATTCATTCATCTGTTTTATGTGACAATTGGTTATTGACTACACAGATACTTACTCATTGATTAGTGTGTTGGGTGGAATGTCTTGTGTCTGAATCACTGTTAATGTTCTTTTTTCAATGACCAACTATTTGTTGATTATTTTGGTTAGTGGTGATTGGCTCTTTTAAGTTGCATCTCTCACATTGTTGCATAAAATATCATGAATTCTTATTCTGCTCCTGGGACTACATTGTCAGAATCAATAGATTGATCTTATTTAATGATGTCCCATGGATACAGTTCTCTGGTCATGCCGACATAAGTTAACTCCAAGCTTATGACATCACATATTATGCCTTTAGTTAACCATTGTAACAAATTACTATTTTCTATATTACTAATTTTTAGTGATATTTTAGTCATGTAACCCTATTTGGTTAAAGGTTTCATACATCAAATGCATCTAACTAACAACTTTTTGCTCTATGTTTCTAAATATCGAGAATGCCCTTCTTTCTTGTCAAAATTTCATGTTAGTATCCTGTGTGCTTGTGGTTGCTCTATGTGGAGTTCAATTGTTGCATCCTATTTCGAGATTGCAATACCTATCGAGTCGGGAAGGAATGAGTAATGGGCTTGACTGCTCTACCACTGAGCTCCTGAGGAACAATGGACTTTCATTGTTATTTGTTCTCCCACTATGCTAGCACTTAAGAGACTATCTGAGCCCATAGTGTGGGATCACATAAGGTGTCTCCAAAGCTGTCTGAGATTCAAAAGGTGAAATACTTGACTTCATCAGTTCCAGGCTTTGGCTTGAAAGTGAAAATGCTAGCTCTCCATCTTTCTACCTTTGTCATTCCTCCTTCAGGAAGAGCGATGATCTATGCTGTAATATTCTTTCATCTTCCTCCACCGTTCTTAGGGTTTCTTTGGTGAATACTTGCTTGATCCCTCAACTCAGACTCATTGTTTATTTAAAGTGCTGGTACTTCTGGTGTCTAGGTGTAGTTGTAGGTTGGGAACTATGTAATCCTTGAATTTTGTGATTTGAGAATATATTTAGTCTTCCACTTTGTATCTGTTGTCATCCTCAAATCTTAACTATTCCTCCCATGGTGACACATGATTTGTTCTCAATTGCAGCTGGCATGACTTCCCTACGACTCTTTCGTTATATTTTGATAATACAAATAGAGTAATGAAGAAATTCACATATGTATACACAAGTGCATATGTAGGAGTATGCATGTGTGTATGCGACCATGCAAAATTGAACTGAACCTATGATGCAGCCCACAAGAAGAGTTAGGAAAATCAAAATTATGAAAACATTCAAGTTTGAAAATTCATTAGTTTCATGCCAAACTCAATTGGGGTCAGTTAGGAACATGTGCAATAAAGTTTTTAGGCTTAATGGAGTAATATATTATGATTATTTAGGCTAAGTATTAATCCAGTTGGTTTTCTATATGATTTATTAAATTTTATAGCATCTGGGTATTTTGGTAATTTGCAAATTTTTTGGACATGGGTTTTCCCATGGGTCAAGTTATGTGATTGGGCTTTTCTTTTATGGGTCTTATCTAGTTTTGGATAGATTTTAGAAGTCGAAGTTTAGTTGTTTCTTTTTTTAGAAATCCTAGTCCTTGTTGGTGTTGGAAGTCTCCAAAATTCATGTTGAGCTATGCATTGCTTCTAATTCAATGGAGAACAATTTTGAAAGAATTATTTCCAGCAAATATGCTCCTGTTTAGATTATGTGATGTTTCTTCTTCTCCTTCTTCCATGTTCAATTCTATGTACTTTAACAGCCCAACTAGATTTATTCCTTTCAATCTTTACATACTATTCTCTGAGCCTAAATTTTTTTATCCTAATACAAAGCTACTGTTCACGTGTACTGTTCACAACACCCAAAAAAGCCCTAAATTTCATTCCCTTCCCCTATTTTATTAACCCAAAACACTACCTTTATGTTACTCCATACAAACCTTTAAAAAGTCCAATATGTTTACTAAGCAGTCAGCCCTAAAACCCTCGAGTGTATAGGGGATTGTTCTGGCATACAATCTATTTACAAGGGCAGCACCCCCCCTAGTGCCTACTTTTTAATAAACTAAACTTAAAAAAACCATGATTATAACTTGTGATCTTTGCTCCTCTCCTCCTCCTCCTCCTCCTCCATTCTTCTATATCTCTAGCCTTAGTCCTTTTTTTTTTTGGCTTACATATTTGACAAATGCTATTGCTAGAGCTAGTTGGTTATTTTGAGAGTATTTTGAATGAATCCATGTTGCTCATACAAAAGAGCATTTTGAATGAACCTGAAAGCAGCCAAAACTGCTGCTGTTCTTATACTCCCCACAATATTTAGCTAAATTGGGCCATTCATAAACTAGTAGTTGGCATATTTTTTATTTATCAACTTCTACAGATTAGCCAACTTAACGGATCTATATGATCAACTTATCATTTGACCACTTCTGATCCATCTTATGTTTGATGTAACTTCAAATTTGTTAATTTTTTTCTAGTATGGATTGTTGGATTTCTCTACTCAAAGTTATACCTACGTTGCATCATACATTTGGGGGATGTGGAGGGGGCTGCAGCTCAGACCCGGACACATGAGCATGGTTTCAAGTCTCTAGGCTCTTAACACTGGGGCGTAGGGGCCGCATCATGTTGGTCGTGTTTGTATCGTGTCATTTCAGGTTCTTGTCAAAATTACCTCAACACTAACCCAACCTGTTTATTTTTTCGTGTTCCCGTGTTGTGTCATTTTCAGTTCGTGTTTGGTTCGTATCATGTTATGTAAAAAATTTACACCCTTAATTAAGAATACCAAGTGTGTGATAGAATTAAAACTTTTCTCCCATAAGTTAAATTTTATGGAACTAATCTCTACTTGATGAAATTATTCATAGAAATATTTAATGTCAAATCAATTCCATTTCTCCAACTTAAGAAAACTATACCCTATTATCATATTTTTTTAGCTAGATCGACTCTAAAATAATAGGAAAAAAAAAAAAAAATCTTATATGGAAAACAAAAAAAGACTATTAGCCTTAAAATGCTATTTTACGTATTTTTTTGTTTAGCTTGATGGAATTACATAAGGGATTCAAAATTGTTACGGAACCCCTTGGTGGAAATAACATTAAAATGTGGAACTAATTTTTTATTAAATGGGTTGTCTGTGTCAACTCCATGCTATGCAGGCTTGACATTGACCCGACCTGATCTGTTCAATATTCGTGTTATCGGATTGTGTCATGTCGTGTTCATGTCAGAAAATGCCAACCCTAATCCACTAAACTCATGTATGGTTTGACTTGCGTTGAAAATTCCCACCCTTACTAGGCATCCCCGCAGTTCACCTGTGACCTAATGGTAGCTCTTGTTCTTTTATGTTTCTTCTAGGAAGCACTTCACTTGTCCATTGCATTCATCTTTGAATTCTTGTTGGTTTTTTTCATTGAGTTACTGAATTTTACATTATAATCGTGTTTGTTTATTAGTTATTCACAATTTTTGTCTCAGCAATGATTTCGGGTCATATATTTGTATTTTTCTTATTGCCGTGATTTGTTCATGTCAGTACCATGATTCACTGTGGTTAATTCCTGCCAAGGTGAAATTCTATTAGTTGAGCCATTGAAACTTCTACCTACTGAAAGATGTCATTGAAATTAATATTTTGTACAGTTGTGTTTATATTGTTTGGGTGGTTTTGTGTGTAAGTTTGTATAAATATATGCATACATATGTATTATGTATGTCTGAATGTGGTTGTTATTTCACCTTTCTATTAGATGTCTGTAATTTCCCAAGTTTTTACTTCCAGGCTTTGGAGTGCTTGGTACGGCTGGCTTCTGTGAGAAGATCACTGTTCACAAATGATACAACGCGCCTTAAATATTTAGCTCACTTAATGACAGGAACTAAAGAAATTATGGAAACGGGGAAAGGTAAACAGCAGTTTGCATAGCTTTTATACTCATTGCTTGTTTACTTTAATATATTAAACTAACAAAATTTTTTGTCTGACTAATGTCTTTCTTAAAATTTTTTTTTGTGTGCCGACGTGAGATTTTTTTTTTTTTTTTTGAAGTGGATTTAATGTAAAAAATAGTATAAAATAACCACCAATAAAGAAAACTACACAGCATAATAAGGAGCACGAGCATCGTGTGTGTTTCCCTTCTAGTTTGCACTAGTATTCAACAATTTTTTGATCTTTATGCAAAGTTAGTTGTCATTGTTTGTACACTATATATATTATCTGTTTGTTATAACTTCTAGTTATTTTCTTTTAAATAGTCTGATTAATCAATATTGGTTCCATCTCAGTGTAGTAAAGTTCTCATTTTCATGTAGACATGGGTTTTTTTGTTGATATCTCCGCTGGATCAAAGTTCCTTTCATGTGGTGGAATTGTGTGTGGAAAATTTGGAATATGCTAACGCTTTTGTCATGTAGATCTCATTTGGAATTGTCACAAAATCAGAAGTCTGATTTTTTTTTTTGTGTGTGTGTGTGTGTGTCAACCCTAAATATATAACTAGATGTAAAATGTAAATATAAAAGTAAATATATAAGTGCTAATGAATTATAAATAACATGTTTCGTTGGATTTGCATTAATATTTCTTTATCCACTATCAATATGCCATTTGACACAAGCCAAAGTTGTAGTTTATTGTTCCTGAATTCGGAAGATGCTTCCCCTTAAAGTTAACTTTTCTATCCCTTAGCCTCTAGCAGGAACAATAAGGGGTACTTCACTTGTTCATATCACAAAAATAAAATGTCATGTTGTGCGTTGATACCAGAAACAAACTGACAGTCTTAACTACTGCTTTGGTGTGACACATAATGTTTCCACTCTGTGCCCTTCTATAATGTTGGTGTCCTGGGTTTTCAACACAAGTAGATCAACTTTGATCACATTGTACTTTGGCTGTGAATCTGCATTGCCTTGTAAAACTATACCCGAACTGAGAAGTCCAATATAATAAATGATCATTTAATCTATTTTTAGTTTTAAAAAGTAACAAACACATTGGAAAGTAGGGTTTGCATTTCCAACTCCTATGGAAAGAGATGTTGCTCTGTGTTACTGTGCATCCCTTTGTCGTTTGAAGGCTGTATTGCAAATCATGGCATCATCAAGGAACAGAAGGGAAAACACTTCTGCTCAGACTGATTCTATATAGCATGAATGATTTCTCTCAGATTGGTTTAATGTCCTGTAGAAATTTTGTTTTGTGTCTAGTCCTTGCATGCTTTGAGGAATAAGCACCATATTCCTGTTCACCAGAACTTTCTTATGATACTTTCTTAATCTTTTCATTTTTGAAATTTGTATTTTAACACGAGTGTTGTATTGAAGTCGACATAAGGTAATAATCACTTTTATCTGAATCCCTGCACCTTGAAGATTACCCTCTTCATTAAGAAAGTACCAGTATTTTGGAACACACATAAAGGGAAGTGGTTGAGTGTTTCTAAGAAGAATAGAGTAAGACACTAGCATTTTAATCATAGCCGTATGTCCCAAGATTTTTGAAGGTTGATTGAATCCAAAACGTAGAGGCATGGCTGCAGTGACATGTATGACTAAGCCAGTTGAACATAGGCAGTCAATGAACAATAGCTATTGAAAGCAGCTGATCCAGTTGGGTAGAGGAAACTTGAAGAAATATTCATTTGAGCTGTTAAAGGGAATTGTAACTTTTAATTTGTATGTTTCTTTGGATTACTATCCTGGTCTGCATATATGGGCAGGTGGTCATGACTTAGCAGTAAATTTCAAATCACACCAAAGCAAAACTCCCTGTGACTGCAAAGCAGATAAGATGTCGCAGTATGTATAAAGAATTCGAAAAGTAGGTGAGAGTGGCAAAAAGAAATTTGATAGTTGGGTCATCCGAAATGATGATGTAGAAAAAATCTTTCTTAGGTGAAAATTGGAGTCGCAAAAATTTGTTGAAATTTTAGCATGATTGCTTTTCAGGGTGTAATCTGGCGTACACAACCAGCGGAGGCTGGATAGAAAATTCAGGAGACATGAAGAAAATGCATTCTGATAATTAGGAAATATCCTAGAGGAGCTCAAATTAATGAGGAAGGAATGAATTGGTGAGGCTTGACTCTTGAGTAACGAAGTGATGAAAGCACTGGGTTGAAAGCAGTGAATGTTCCTTAGATCTTATAATGTTATCCTTTGGCACCAAATGTAATAGTGATTTGCATAAGCCTAACATGATTTTAAAAAGTTTTTAATTAAGGGTAACACATAATATAAAGAAAATTTAAAATCTATTTTCAAAGAGATCCAAAATTTTAAACAAGCCAATCAATTCATTGCTAACTACAGTTGAATAATACTGTAGACAGTTCTACACGTATATGAGTAAGATCAACCACTAATAAATATATTTTTTTTGATAAACAAACTAGCTTTATTCAGAAAGCATCAAGATGATGCAAGGAATACAAAACACCCCCAATTTGGGGAAACATCCACTAATAAATATTTATTTTCAACATGTTATATTTTCAGATTTAAGGCCATTGTATATGTCGGTTTCATATTGAGAAAAACTTAATGTACACCTTGAAATGGGAGAGGATTATAGCAAGTTCAGTTGTGGAATTAAAGTCGAAGGGAAACAGAAAAAAAGAAAATTACACCGTTAAGGATTGAAAACTTTGAAAGTAGTAAAAAGTCCAGTCATTTTACCTTGTTTCACTACTGGATATTTCATGTTTTTTTGTTCCCATGCTGAGAAATGACTCCGATGTTTTGGGCCAGGTCTTGCTGATCATGATAATTATCACGAGTTTTGCCGTCTTCTTGGGCGCTTTAAAGTGAATTACCAGGTCTCTCTCTCTCTCTCTCTCTCTCTCTCTGTATGTGTGCGTGTGGTCACATGCCTGTGTACATATTAGCTAATACATGTGTGCACTGATGTTTATGTTGAACTTATGTAATGCGCTGTTGTCATTGGAACTTTCTGCAATTGATTTCTTGTGTAGTTACTGGAGTTTGGTATTGAGTTTTCTCAGCAGTGAAATTCTATTTAATATATTTACTTGATTAAGATTAACCATAGTAGCAAAATGTCAAAAAAACATAGTGAATTTCATGTTTTGTTTGAAGTAGCATGTTGTTTTCAACAGTGGTATTTTGAATATTAACTCAATCATTACATAATGTAGAAATGTGATAATATTATATAGTTCTTTGAAATATATAGATTTTGTGCCTTTAATCATACATAATGTAGAAATGTGATAATATTATATAGTAATTTGAAATATATAGATTTTGTGCCTTTATGTAACATCCAGTGGTGCACTGATCTGATTGCTCACTTATATCTGTCATTGTTAGAGAATGTGCTTTTATAATGAACCTAAACAACAATGTGTACAGTGTCTACTAGCTTGTGCAGTTGTCAAATTTCATTGGACAGAGTTAAATGCTATCATTTGTTTTTTGGATCTACAATGAAGAGAGCTTTATTTATTAGAGAGAGAAAAAAGAAGCATAAGAGATGGCAAGGTGGGCAAGAAGTCCACCGCCTACAAGACAAAAGGAAAATAAAACTGAAGAATTACATATCACGCATGACTTTCCAATCTCTAGAGATTAAAAATGAAGGGGTTCCTTTGAAAAAGGGTGCCAATAAAGGCCAACTAGATGAAAAATAGCAGTTTTTATTCCATAATTCCCTTAAATCCTTTAATTTTTTCTTACTCTTGAATTCCTTTCCAACCATATCAACTACAACTGCAAAGACAATACATCTTGCCAAGGAGTTCAAGTCTTGGGATTAAGACTGAATACCTCAAAATCAAATCAACGCAAAACATTTCAACACAAGAAGAAGGAATAACTCAATCATCTCTGCCATAAAGAATACTCTTCACCATATGGTTAAAGCCACATGACAAAGCAAAAATAAATGAATAATACTTTCCTCCTCCCTCTTACAAATGACTAAGGCGAGTAAAATGAGAGAAATGTGAAAGATTTTTAGAAATGAATTTCCATGGAGATCAATAAATACCCCAATCAACCACTCAAGAGTCGCAACCATTATCATATAACCCACACTTACTTTTGATCATAACATGCCATAAATGATTTTATTTCGTAGGGAATCTCCATAACCATCTTAGTGAGCGATGAATGGAATGAAAAGAATTATTTGGCTTTCCTATGAATGAGGTAAGGGTCATGTATATATAACAGATTCATGATACAATTTAGGAAACGATATAAATAAGGAAACGATATTAAATCAGTGATTGACACAATCATAGATTATATACAAAATACTAAAAATAAAAAGATTCTATATACTCTAATTTTTATATTCAATTCTCTCCCTTAAGCTGGTGTGAAGATATTCAACAATCGCAACTTGCCAATGGATGATTGGAAGAAGTCGAAAAAAACTCAACGGCTAGTCCAAATAAATGCTACCGAACAAATCTGAAAGTTCACTAAATAAAAAAGGCCTAAAAAGTGCTAAATACATCAGCACCACACCCTAGAAAGGGAAAAAACAAGGACTGAACTGCTCTAGAAGAAACTGACCGGAATCAATGTCGGGACAGTTTACGGGGTCATGCCGGACTGTTGTAGAAATTGGCCGGAATCAATGTCGGGATAGTTTACGGGATCATGCCGGACTGTTGTAGGAACTAACCGGAATCAATGTTTGGATAGTTTAAGGGGTCATGTCAGATCGTTGTAGAGACTAACTGGAATCAATGTCAAGACAGTTTAAAGAGGTCATGCCAGACCAATGTAAAGAACTGGATGTTGAACCAGCAAGCGTAACACATACGTAACTTATGACGTCGTACCGAACGATGATGGCAACAGATGACTGAGTGCGCCAAGGGACGACTTATTGATACCAAAAAGGATGAAAAAAATTATTTGGGATAGGAATAATTTAGTGGATAGAGGAAGAGATCACTACGAAGTGATACTGAAAGAAAATATAGCAGTGGAATGGGTTGAAGTTCGGCGGGCAGCGAAGGCAAGGCTGTCGTCGGCCGGTGAAGTAAAATTACTAGGTACTTAACCTAGCTCTGATACCAAATGGAATGAAAATAATTATTTGGTTTTTCCATGAATGAGGTGGAGGCCATGCATATATAATAGATTCATGATTCAATTTAGGAAATGATATAAATAAGGAAACGATATAAATTAGGAAACAATACTAAATCAGTGTTTGACACAATCACAGATTATATACATAATACTAAAAATAAAAAGATTCTATATACTCTAATTTTTATATTCAACATGATGCAACATTATTTTTCACAATGTGTCCTATACCATACCAAGTTCTCTTTGATTCTTAGGGACATAGATCACATGCCAACCAATCAAATGATCTTTTTACCTTCACCACTAACGTTTCACAAAAAATCTTCATTTGTTTGAGATAATCCTAGATATAGAAAGATGACATCTATCAACAAGTTATTTACTTGTATTTATTTATTTTGTTTTTGGGTAAGTATGCATTTGAATGAAAGAAAAGAAAGAAAATTCATGTTTACAAGGGGCATACCCTAGGCATTACAAACAATTGGAAATACACTCTTAAGGTCTAAACCAAACATAGACTAACTAAACTAAAGTTTCATACTCCATATCCAACATAGATTTGCAAAAGGACCAACAGACTTACCAGGAAGTTACCCCACAACTATTTTTATGTAGCTGATTATAGAACCCACCCGAAACAAGGAAACCTGGACATTGCACACTCTTGATAAGTTGATAGCAATGCCCAAAGTAACAACAAAAAACGTAAAAGCAGCTACAACTACTGTTTACAGGTCTTGAAAAGACACCAAATGTGTGCGCACCAATGTTTTGTCACCTTCCTGAGTCTCAAAGAGTTTGTACCCACTTTGTTCAACAACTAAGAGTAGACTTCAAGAATCTAATGGTGGAACATGATTATTGCATTACTGGTTTTATATTTGATGTGAAATTCTCTCTAGAAATTTGGTAAAAGAACTTTGTTTATGAGATGCTATTCAAATTTTCTTGGATGGATGTACATCTTATTTCATGGTGTAACTATGTACTTTTTCCCTATTTGATATGGACTCTTCTAAATGTGTGAAGTATCCTTGTCGGACACTTGACACTTGAATAGGAGTGTCACATAATATGTCAGACGACCTCCTCTACTTGAGGTAAAGATCTAATGAAAATAAAATAGGATCCTAGTCCCTGCTAAGAAGCACGGACATGGACATGTGACTTCACAGTGGGACACATGGGGCACACACACTATACAATTTTATATATTTATTATGTCACATATATGAATACTTCATTCAAAGATATGTTGGATCTCAAGTTATTTTGTTCATTTTATGTTTATCTAAGCTATGGATGTGTGTGTCTTCCAAGTGTCCGAAGAGTGTCTGGGTCTAATTTTAAAAAAGAAAAAGAAAAGAAAAGAAAAGAAAAAAGTAGTGTAACCAGTTTGGATGTGTGCAACATGTGTTGGGAAGTGACCAACTAGTGGCAGTGTCCAACACGGACATGCCACCTTCTTAGAAGTTTTTGTGCTTTTTTTGTTGTACTGGAGGAGGTATTCTTGAAAGCAGCCTTTATTTGAAAATAATTTTTTTTAAAAAAGGACTCATATCATCGTTTTCTCGATTGTCTCCACATTTGTTCACACATTCTTATCACTTTTATATCGTCACTAAGACGTTATTTTATTTTCGTGTAAAATATGTGTTCATTTGTTTGATCCATTCATATCAAAATGAAATCAAATGGAATTTTGTATATTGTTGTCCAGTTTACTTTGGCTTGATGATCTTCTTGTTGCTCGTGGTTCTTGTGATTATGAAATACAGTTGTCAGAGCTTGTCAACATGGAGGGCTACAGTAGTTGGATAAGCTTAGTAACGGAGTTCACATTGAAGTCTCTACAGTCATGGCAGGTTGTTTTGTTTTCTTAACTTTTTAGTTGATCAGAAAGCCATTGAAGCAATTCAATCTTTTCTATACATTAAGGATTTTCTCTTATATGAATCTTGTTGAATTGTTGCCTTTGACCAGTGGGCAAGCAGTAGTGTCTACTACCTTCTTGGGCTATGGTCTAGATTGGTGACTTCTGTACCATATTTGAAGGGCAATGCACCAAACCTACTAAACGAATTTGTGCCTAAGATCATAGAACATTTTATCTCATCAAAATTTGATTCTATTCAGGTTAGATTACATTTGCTTTTTCAGCTGATGATGGAATGAGACTTTACTCCACCAAATAGAAGGTTCTACATTATTCTTTTTTTTTTTTTTTTTCTCCCTTTCATTTGTTTTTGTTTCAGGCTGGATTATCGGATGATCTCTCAGAGGACCCACTTGACAATGTTGAACTTCTTCAGGATCAGCTTGAATGCATTCCTTACCTTTGCAGATTTCAGGTCAGTCATTGTTGTTACAACTAAATGAATGATTCTGAGATTGTGGTTTATTTTTATCTAGTTCACATGCTTTCATTCATTAAATCTGTTAAGATTGAAACTGTATCTTTTAATCTTGCATGTCTTCTTTTGTTTCTCACTGTTGACTTAAAATCTTTCATTTGATTGCAGTATGAGATCTGTAGCACATATATAATGCAGATTACTGATCCTATTTTGCAAATGTATATGGTAAGGCTTAGTAGCATTTTGTGCAATTCCATCATTGTTCTTGATATTTGTGAAATTCTCCATGTGAAGATTATGATTCTTCTGTTATTTTAATTTCATTTGTATAGGAAGCAGTCAACCTCCCAGCCCTCTCAGATAATAGTGAACTTCTTGTTATTGAAGCCAAACTTTCTTGGATAGTGCATATAATTGCAGCTATTCTTAAGACAAAGCAATTTAGTGGTGTAAGGTAATTATACTCCTGTTAATTGTAGTCACACATTTCCGGAGTGCATTGTGTTTCTTATCATGTTTTACATCTCTTCTTTTTTAGTGCGGAATCATATGAAATACGTGATGCAGAACTTTCAGCACGTGTGTTGCGCTTGATAAATGTGACTGATAGTGGATTACATAGTCAGGTAATCAATAGAAAGAATGCCCATCTGATTTCTTTTATTTTCTTAGCGCAACATAAAATCTAAGCTTTATAACAAAACGTAACTTATGACTTTTTTGTTCAAGGTGCTTCATGGAAATTAACATACATATGCATGATATTTTTAGGTGAAATAGACACATTTAATTGACACGAATCTGTCATGTAAAATTATAAATCTATCTTATTGTGCATGTGCTAACTAGATGAAATCATTATGCATGTATTAGTCATACTGACGCATTTTTTTGGTGCTGGGTTACTGATACATGTGTATTTATGGAACATTGTTACTTTAATGAATTTGTGATTTAACACTGCACCAGCGTGCTTACTTGCTTTTAAGTTCAGCATAACAAAATTCAACGTGAGGGTAAAAGTATTAGCTCTAATTAAATGCATCAGATGCTGGGCATTTAAATTGTAGTGTGGGACTTTTGGGTGGTCTGCTTGTTTGACCTACAGATAGACATGAAACTGATGGGGCGAAGCACACTCTTATAAACTCTGATCTAAAGTTTGATTTTGATGTCTCAAAGAGGGTCTTTGAGAGTGACTATTGTGGACTTTTAAGGTCTGAAATTGCTGTAACAAAGGGTTTGGTTTTGGAGTTATGCAGCGAGGTTTACTTGGTTGGAAGGGGCAAGGAAAGGGTTTTTTAAATTTATTCAAAATAAAACCTGCCTTTCTTTCTTTCATCTAGTCCTCGTCTTTTATCATTATGCTATGTATATCATCCTTTATATTCTCTTGCATTTGTCAGAGATATGGCGAAGTAACCAAGCAAAGACTTGATCTTGCTGTTCTGGTCTTCTTTCAACATTTTAGAAAGTCTTATGTGGGAGATCAAGCAATGCATTCTTCTAAGGTAAACCATTTTAAAGTTTGACCTTCCACTTGGAAAGTGGGAGAAGAAGCAAGAATCACAAGCTCCATAGTCAGTAAGTTTAAGCGTACCCTCGTTAATCGCTACTTGTCACATTTCTTGCAGCAGTTATATACCCGATTATCTGAGCTTCTTGGACTTCATGATCATCTGCTCATATTGAATGTTATTGTTGGAAAGATTGCTACAAACCTGAAGTGCTATGCGGAGGTGACTGTTCCTAGTGTTTTTCCAGTTAAATAGTTCTTTGATTTATAAAATGCATGCATAATTTGACCCTATTTGCAGAGTGAAGAGGTAATCAATCACACTTTAAGTCTCTTTTCGGAAATGGCAACTGGGTAAGTTGTATTTCGACATAGGTTTATGGGTAGAATTGGACTTGTTCCATGTCTACAATTTTATATGAACTTGTGAAATTCGTGCAGATACATGACGGGAAAGCTGCTTTTGAAGTTGGATACTATTCAGTACATTATTTCACATCATAATGTAATTGTAACTTGAGTATTTTCCTATGTCTTTTTCTCTTCCTAGATGTTTGTATATTTGGGAAGCTTAATTCAGGAATTAATTCATGAAATTTGCATTTTCAGAGGGAGCACTTCCATTTTTTAGAGAATTACAGTTGTTCTCGTTGCAGAACAACCTTCTATTACACTATTGGCTTGTTGATCTTCATGGAAGATAACCTCTTGAAATTTAAATCTTCAATGGATCCTCTTCTGCAGGTATGCTGTTCATTTTCTACTACAGTTTGCTTTTCTTTCACTGCAGTTTTGTAACTGTCTATATTTATTAATTTTTTATAATTGCAATGGTTTTCCCTAAACTTTTATAACAAGTTTTTTGAATGTGCTGGACTAAATTATCTTTAATTCATTTCTTGTAAGTTCTGTTCTGGAAATCATATCCATGCTTATGATGAACTGATGGCTTAGCTCTCAAACTGCTTTGGATTGTCATTTGCTTCTTTGTTCTTGGTTGACGTTTTAATCTGTTGACTGGTTTTCCCACCTAAGGTTTTTGTCAGTTTGGAATCAATGCCTGATGCAATATTTCGCACGGACGCTGTTAAATATGCATTAATAGGATTGATGCGGGATCTCAGAGGAATCACAATGGCCACAAATAGGTTGGTCTCCTTGCTATTTCTGAAATTGCATTTTATTTACAGGCACTCCCTAATTTGTGCATGCTTCTTCTATTTCCTTTTTGTTTTTTTCCTCGTTCCCTATTTTGTAGTCGCCGAACATATGGTTTCCTCTTCGATTGGCTGTATCCAGCTCGCATGCCGCTTCTTCTGAAAGCAATCACACATTGGACTGATACACCAGAGGTGAGCTGCAGCTACAATTCTAATATATTTAAAGTTCTTTCTCAATATTTCATGGTCAATTAAGATTTATGGCTGTGTGGTTTTTTGTTTCCAATATAGGTCTTGTGATGCTTGCTTTCTCAATTGTAACATGATTGTTTGGAATTGAAACAAAGTAACATAATCTGTGCACTATAATGTAGTCATACAAAAATAAACATAAAAATCTGTACAACCCATTGCTATAACATCCTAATATCTGAAATCTATAAAATCCAAAAGCTCATACTGGTGTTTGGTTTGAGATGATTTTATGGTTGTATTTGGAAACCTACCAAACTGAAAGCTTGGATATAGTATGGTTTCCCATGTCAGAGTTTTAACCTTCCTTCTCACTGTCGAGTGGTTTGAAACCCGCATTTTAACCTCTACCAAAAAGTTTGTGATAGTGTGTTATTTACAACTAGTTTTACGTAGTCTTACTCTTATTGTACACAGAAAAGTTTTTACAAGAGGTGGGCCCCATTGTGTTGTTGACATGTAAATTGTTGGCATGTTTCTGTGGTTTAATTCTGTGTATGTAGACGTGCTCTTATTGTACACAGAAAAGTTGTACTTTTGTAATGCACAGTAGCTATTTTTCTTCTCAGTCCTCTTCATCTTATTTTTTCAACCCTTTATCAGAACCCTACACATCAAAGTAAATATTTGAGAGGGTTTTGCCAAGTGGTGGAATCAGAGAAATGCAGGTGCTTTAAGAAAAGACAATAACACTGTCAAACAAAGGTTGGCATCCATAAAGATGATTTTTATGTGCATTATTTTTGTTCTTGGAAGTTTTCACTACATTCAGATGGTCTGTCAGCTAAATGTTATTTGATTGGAAATCTGGTGAGGAGAATCTGAAAAGTTAAAAAGTGTTTCTCATGTTCAAAGGTAGTTCAATGCTGAGTGTCTTTACTAGATGGGAATCTTTAGAGTTGCGGGTTTAATAATTCGAGTAAGAATGTGAAGGGCATACTTTATTCTTTGAAGATATGGTGCGTCCTGTCTATTTCGGCTACTGTTTTAATATGAAAGTCTGTATAGCTCTTCAAAGAGGTTTTTCACTAGCTGCCGATCAAAGAAACAAAAGAAGAAGAGGAGGTTTTCACTAGTACAATAGAAGGATTTTTTTCCCCCTAGCATGAGGGGGCTGAAGCAAGGGATCCTCTTTCCTTTCTTTATTAATTATTTTGATTGAGGTTTGAGCGAAACGATCATTGGAATTGGGCAAGAGGGGTCCGGTGGGTAGGTGGAGACTCACTGCCTATTTTTTATCTTCTTTATGCGGAGGATACAATTAATTTTTGTTTAGAAGAGCAATTGAGGTACCTACACTACACCCTTATTTTCTACGAGGCAGTGCTAGATTTGAAAGTGAATTTGGGAATGAGTGAGGTTATTCTCTTTGGCAAGGTATAGTGTGTTCAAAGGTTGTATTGTATCAGCATATGGAAAGGGATTAGGAAAGGGTGGTAGGACATTCTTTGGTCATGTTAGGATTTGTGGTTGGAGAGTGATTCTAGTGTGATGTGTGGTAGGTGGATAGTGGGAGCTTCTATATGCACACCACAAAACTTCTCAGGTCACACCATTCTTTCGTTCAGATGTCAACTACCCAACAAAAATCCATAATTTGGATATCAACTACCGAACCAGAATAGTGGGAGCTCTATTTGCTCACCACATCACAAAACTTATCAGTTCACACCATTTCCCATTCTGATATTAGCTACCAAACAAAAGTCAATTGTTTAGATTTCAACTACCGAACAGTAGTTGATATCCGAACAATTGATTTTTGTTTAGCAGTTGATATCCAAGAGGACAAAATGGTGTGAACTGAGAAAAAAGGTGGTGTGCAAATAGAAACTCCCATGGATAGTCCTTTGTAGGAGCCATTTTCGGAGTTATACAATATGATTGTACATAAAAATGCTTGGGTTTCTAAGTATGTGAGGTAAAAGCTGATTATTGTCCTTCACTCCTTTTTAGTTTATTTTCATGTTTTACCTAATTGGTGTTTTATAATAAAGATATACTGTCTGTGTAACAATTATTTAATGTGCAAATATTTATGTAATGTGCTGTCATTTTGAAAATGTGTCAGTCCATCTTTGTTGTTATTCATAGAATCAAATGCGATTGTGATTCTTACTTAAAAAATTCTGTTAATGTTCTAACTTAGTCATCTCCACCAGCATCCACCCACTTTCAGAAACTATTTATTTGCAATTTTTTATGCTTGAAGTAGTACGGGCACTTATTGATTGGATACAACAAATTTGTGCAGGTAACAACTCCACTTTTGAAATTCATGGCAGAGTTCGTTTTGAACAAGTCCCAACGATTGACTTTTGATTCGTCATCTCCTAATGGCATATTGCTTTTCCGAGAAGTCAGCAAATTAATAGTAGCATATGGGTCAAGAATTTTGTCTCTTCCCAATCGGGCAGATATGTACACATTCAAGTACAAGGGAATATGGATTTTGTTGTCTATCCTTTCAAGAGGTACTTACTTTATTTGCATAACTTCCTATCTTTTTTACTTTGCATGCGGTAACAACCCCACTATTGAAATTCATGGCAGAGTTCGTTCTCAACAAGTCCCATAATGGTGACGACTGTACCTTATATTTTATCTTTTTATCTATTACTCTTTATTTACTTTTCTTTCCATATATATATATATATATATATCGTGAGTTCCTTTTCTAGTGTCCCAAAAGAGAGAAATTGTCTCATAGATGTGTAACAAGTAACCAATCTATTTATTTATTTAATTCCATGGCACTAGCAATTAAACTAACATTTTATGAGTTACATCTCCACTTAAAGTAGACAAAATCTTCAACTAAGTCATTCCAATTCCATAATCATATAATATAATTCACATATGATACCCCACAAATTCAAATATTGTTTAAACTCGTCTACCATTAACATTAGCCATAACCATACATTCTCTATTTTCGAGGTTCAATTATTGTATATAGTGACTTAATTAACAGCTAATATGAAAGGACATAACTACCTTAATTTAGCCGAGTATGTGACCTCGAATAGTATTATTTGAGGGAAATGGATCTTTGTAGGCGATCCCAAGTAATTGTGACAGGTTTTTTAAGTTGAGTCAGATATTTTTTGTTTCTCAAATTCTGTCTTTTCTATATTAACTTTTCAATGTGAAATCGAAACTTGGGAACAATACTTTGATCACTGCAAAACTAAGGGTAAGGACATTTTATTTTAGGGTAATTCTATTTGCATCCGACACTTTATCTCAGTACGCACGATTTTTGCCATTTAGATATTAATTTCCGAACAAATAACAAATGTTCAGATATAACTTCCGAACAAAAATCAATTGTTCGGATATCAACTATTGAACAATATTTTTGTTCGAACATTTGGTTTTTGTTCAATAGTTACAATTGAATTATGTTTGGAAGTTAATATCCAAATAGCACAAATGGTATGTACTGAGATAACATGTGGTGTGCAAATAGAATTATTAGGGGTTCTTCTTCATCTTCTTTGTCTTCTTCTTTTTGAAGTACTGTGGCTTCTTTTGAATTGATTTACTTAATCATTTAGCACCAACTTTCTCTTTGTTATCAGATACAAAATTTACTAAAGATTAATCATTTACTGGCATCTGTTGGCTGTTTATAATTTACTTTACTATCACATGACAGCACTTGCCGGTAATTATGTCAACTTTGGTGTGTTTGAGCTGTATGGTGATAGAGCACTTTCAGATGCTCTTGATATTGCCTTGAAGCTGATATTATCAATTCCTTTGGTGGATATACTGGCATATCGGAAGGTACAATTTTGGGGTGCAAGTGTATGTGTAAAACTGTTGATTTTGGAATTGGCATATCGGAAGGTACAATTTTGGGGTGCAAGTGTATGTGTAAAACTGTTGATTTTGGAATTCTAGTTGGATATGTTTCTAATAACTTAACTTAACCCCCCCCCCCCTTGCCAAAAAAAAAAAAAAGAAAAACTGTATTTGGTCTTTTCTCTTTGCAACTATTTGTGGGACCCAAATTTTACCAAACTTCCCACTGTACTCTTTTCAGAGTCACACTGTCATGCTCGTCACGTGTTTCAAGTCAGTCAGATATTAGTGGTAATCTGATTAATATGCCTAATTTTTTGGTAGTGTAACTCTAATTTGGTGTATTTAAGTTGATCTGTGTGCCCTTGAATACAAATATCAATGGATTTTTCTTATGATGAATAATCCCAAAATCAGTTTTGCTTGTTAAATTAATTTGTAATGCTATTTCTTCAGTCTTTATATTTATATGGATACACTACATTCTCGTGGTTTCTCTCAGTTTGAAAATAAATAAATAAAGTTTTTAAGAACTGTATTGATAAAAACCAAACCAAATCAAGCATTAAGTCCCATCAAATGGGGTCGGCTACATGAATCCTTTTTCTTCACGCGGCCTTATCAATGGCCATTTTGTTAGTCAAATTAAGTAGATCCATATCTCTATTTACAACGCTAGCCAACATTAATCTAGGCCTATCCTGTCCCCTAACACTCTCATCTACCGTTACAATATCGTATCTCTTCACTATTGTCTCTGTTGGTCTCCGTTGAATGTGATCAAACCATCTCAATCGATTCTCTCTCAACTTATCTTCTATCGGTGCTACTCCTACCTATTCCCGAATACACTCATTCCTAATTCTGTCTTGTCTAGTCTTGCCACACATCCACCTTAGCATCCTCATCTCAGCCACACTCATCTTATTTATATGTTGTTTTTTAGTTGCCCAACACTCCGTTCCATACAACATCACTGGTCTAATAGTCGTTCTATAGAACTTATCTTTTAGTCTAGTGGGTATTCGTTTATCGCACAGTACCCCAGACGCACTTCTCCACTTACACCATCCTGCTTTAATCCTACGGGCCACATCTGCATCAATCTCCCCCCGTTGTTGTGATAATCGACCCCAAATAACGAAAATGTTCACTCTTATGCAGTTATTGGTTCTCAATCTTCACTTCTCTTCTAGTTTCATTGTTGTTGTTACTGTTACTAAACTTACACTCCATGTACTCTGTCTTAGTTCTGCTTACCCGAAATCCTTTAGATATAAGAGCTTTTTTCCAAATTTCCAACTTTGTGTTAACTCCTTCTCTAGTCTCATCTACTAGCACAATATCGTCTGCAAAAAGCATACACCATGGCACGTCATCCTGAATATTTTTAGTCGATTCATCCATAACTAAAGCAAAAAGATAAGGACTTAAGGTAGATCTTTGGTATAACCCTACAGTGATGGGAAATTCATTTATCTCTCCAGTAGGCGATCCAATAGTGGTCACCACCTCTTCATACATGTTCCTAATTACATCAATGTAAACCTTTTGTCACTCCTTTCTTTTCTAACACCCACCATATTATATCTCGGGGCACTGTATCATATGCTTTCTCAAGGTCGATAAACACCATCTGAATGTCTCTTTTCTTTTCTCTATACTTTTCTATTACTCTCTTCAAAAGATAAATCGCTTCTATTGTTGACCTGCCAAGCATAAACCCAAATTGATTCTTTGACACCTCTGTTATATCTTGCAATTGGCGTTCCATCACCCTTTCCCACACTTTCATTAGATGACACATTAGCTTGATTCCTCTATAGTCGTTGCAGTTCTGGACATCTCCTTTATTCTTATAGATTGACACTAAAATACTCTTCCTCCACTCATTTAGCATGTTTCTAGTCAACAAAATTTTGCTAAACAACCTAGTCAACCAAGCAACCCTTTTTTTACCCAAACACTTCTAAGCTTCAATAGGAATATCATCGGGTCTTAAAGCTTTATTTGATTTCATCTTCTGGAGTGCAATCTCCACTTCAAAGTTCCTAATCCTGCGATAGAACTTATAGTCTTGGTTTATCGTATTGCTAGCTATTTCTTCCTCTATTGCCGTACCTCCATGTTCCTCATTTAATAGTTTCTCAAAATAGATCTTCCATCTTTCCTTAATTGCATCATCTTTCACCAATACCTTAGAATCCTTACTCTTGATGCACTTAACTTGGTTAAAATCTCTTGTTTTCTGCTCCCGTATTTTGACAAGTTTGTATATTCTCTTCTCTCACTCTTTACTATCTAGTCTAGTGTATAAGTCATCATAAGCTTTCAACTTAGCCTCTCACTACTTTTTTGACCCCCTTATTAGCCAATCTATAGCTCTTCAGGTTTTCTTCAGTTTTATCCTTTTGCCACTTTTCAAAGCACTATTTTTTTGCCTTAATTACCGCTTGAACCTTTTCCCTCCACCACCAAGTTTCCCTAGAGTTGAGTCCCGTCCCTTTCGACTCTCCAATCACTTTCTTTGAGATTCTCCTCATACAATTGGCCATCGAGTTCCACATAGTGTTAGCATCATCTTCCAAGTCCCAAGTATCTTCCTTATCCATTCTATTTTTAAATATTTCTAGTTTATTCCCTTTTAGGTCCTACCATCTCGTCCTATGATGCCCACCATCCTTCTTAGCTTAGTATTGCCCTCTAAAACGTAAATCTAGTACCAAAATCCTATGTTGAGAGACCAGGCTCTCTCCAGGAATCATCTTACAATCATTGCATTTTAGGCGGTCCATTTTTCTCACAAAAATAATCTATTTGGCTTTTAACTGACCCACTCTTAAAGGTTATCAAATGCTAATTCCTCTTCTTATACATAGTATTGGCCACTACCAGGTGAGAAGCTAACGCAAAATCTAAGATACTCTCTCCAGCCTTATTTCTGTTACCAAAACCGTATCCACCATGCATCCTTTCATAGCCTAGTTTATCTATACCTACATGGCCGTTAAAATCTCCACCAGGTTCTCTCCTACGGGTATCTCCTGTAAGATATCATCCATTTGCTTCAAAAATCTCTCTTACTCTGATCATCTAATCCTGCTTGAGGGGCGTATGCATTAATGACGTTCACTATATTCTCTCCAATAACTAGTTTAACTAACATAATCCTATCCCCTTTCCTAATGACCACCACTACATTCTCTACAAGACCCTTGGCAATTATGATTCCTACCCTATTCATGCGTCTATCATTACCACTATAATACAGTTTAAAACCGGTATCTTCAATTTTCCTAACTTTCTCACCTGTCCACTTAGTTTTTTGTACGCAAGCCATACTAACTCTCCTCTTAATCATAACATCTACCAATTCCATTGTCTTACTAGTTAAGATTTTTATATTCCAAGTGGCTACCCTAAACTTGTAGTCTTGGACTAGCTTCTTTATCCGCGCTCGTCTAGAAAAACGCGAGAACCTTTGCCTATTTTTCACCACATCCAGGCATTGATGCGGCGTCCCTTGCTCACTTTTTGAAACACCCGGAGGCAGGCGTAGCGCGTCACTTGAGGGGAACGACCTAGCATTTAAACGATTCAAAGTAGAATTTATTGTCGTAAGGGATTTGAGCGGCTTTTCTACGTATTGGTTGTCGGTTACCTAACGCACAACCCTCATTTTATTGGATTTATTTGTAGCAGTTGTTGTTATTTTTGAGAAGAGAAAAGTTAGAGGTATGAGTGGTATCTCATCCCTTTTTATATTTAATCATCACCATAATCACAGGAGTGCCATAAGGCATAAAATAAGAATACTAAATATTCATCAGAATAAAATAGGAAATATTCTAACATATTCTAACACTCCTTTAAGTTGATGCAAAAATATCTCTCGTGCCCAGCTTATTAAGAATGTCACGGAATGGTTTATTCCCTAATCCTTGGGTGAGAACATCAGCCAGTTGGTTCTTAGACCTCACGAATGGCGTACATATAGTGCTACTAGTGAGTTTTTCCTTGATAACATGCCTATCAATCTCCACATGCTTGGTCCTGTCATTCTGGATTGGATTGGATTGTGAGCTATATTGATGGTTGCCGTATTGTCACAGTATAGCCGCATAGAATTTGTCTGATGAATCTCCAAATCCCTCAAAAGTAGTCTAATCCATTATAGCTCACACATCCTGAGCCATAGCCCTGAATTCAGCTTCTGCACTGGACCTCGCAACTGCATTCTGTTTCTTGCTTCTCCATGTAACTAGATTTCCTCCAACAAAGGTACAATAGCTAGAGGTTGACCTTCTATCAGTGACTGACCCAATCAGCATCTATATATGCCTTTGTACTAAGATGACCATGTTTAGAGAAATAGAGACCCTTTCTTGGAGAAGACTTCAAGTACCTTAGAATCTGCATAACTGCCTCTAAGTGAATTGCACGTGGAGCATGCATAAACTGACTAACCATACTCACTGCGATAGCAATGTCAGGACGTGAATGGGATAAGTAGATAAGCTTACCCACTAGCCGCTGATATTTTCCCCTGTCTACATGCTCGCTTGCTTGATCCTCACTAAGCTTTAGTACAGACTCTAGTGGTGTATCACAGGCTTTGCTTCTAAGCATTCTAGTTTCTTTTAGCAAATCAAGCACATACTTTTTTTGACATATGAAGATGCCCTATTTGGACTGAGCAACTTTAATACCTAGAAAGTACTTCAAGCTACTTTGATTTCAAACTCATTGGCCAAATACTTCTTTAACCGAGGAATCTCCTCAACATCATTCCCTGTGAGTACAATATCATTCACATAAAAAATATAAGAGCTGTCGTTTTACCATGTGAGTAGTGTTTCACGAACAAAGTATGATCAAGTCTCTTCCATCCATTGATAAGGAAAGTAAAATACTGGAGGATAGTCATCTCACCCTGGACAGACCGGTCAATTGAGCGTCGCAACTCAAAAGTCTGGAAAAAATTGTCTTTGTGGGAATTTGTAGTGGCCACAGCCTCCAAAATGTCCTGTGTTGTGTCCATAGACAGGTATCCCTCACCAATCTCCAGAACCATGGAATATATCAACCAGCCCATGATAAGAGACTTGGCAATCTCCCACTGATCATA